TAACTCAGCTCACCTTGGGCTATTGAGGCTGTGTCAGGAAATGATGTCAAAGACCAAATATATTTCTTACTGAATCACAGAGACAGTTTGTGATCTGAGTGACTTGAATGAATACAGCTGATGCCAAAGATGATCCCCTGAGCACCTGACTGGATATGGCTCTTCCTGGCTGCTGACCACAAAACCGAAACTTCTTGACTGATACCTCAGTGAGCCAGATCCAGGCTAAGAAACCTGTCTGGGTGACAGGATGATTGTTGGTACAATACACTATTTGCTCCATTCTGGGAAATGGCTGATATGCCAATCAGGGTATCCCAATTGTTCTAAAACAGTTCAGCTGATGTGTCAGCTCAATAAGAGGTATGGTTATGCTTGTGAAAAATAACTAGAGCCACTAGTTGGTAAGAAATAGAGCTATTTGCTAAAGCAAGTGATCCCAATTTCAAGAAAAATGCTCAGAAGAAAAATTCTTTGGCTGTCTGGAAAGGAAAGGCATCATAGCATTCCCTTGAATCAAAAGACTTAAGGAGAACCTTATGGGCTCACCCTCAGTGAGTAAGAGCTGAGGCCATAGGATGATCTGCCTTAGAAATATAGCCCAAGGGGGAGGGGCAAGATGGCGGAAGAGCAGGGTCCCCAAATCACCTGTCCCCACCAAATTACCTAGATAACCTTCAAACCATCCTGAAAATTTACGAATTCGGCCTGAGATGTAAAGAGAGACCAGCTGGAATGCTACAGTGAGAAAAGTTCGCACTTCTATCAAGGTAGGAAGACGGGGGGAAAAGAAATAAAGAAACAAAAGGCCTCCAAGGGGGAGGGGCCCCGCGAGGAGCCGGGCTGAGGCCGGGGCGAGTGTCCCCAGGACAGGAGAGCCCCGTCCCGGAGGAGCAGGAGCTGCACCAACCTTCCCGGGCGGGCGGAAAGGGGCTCGCAGGGAGTTGGAGCAGGACCCAGGAGGGCGGGGATGCCCTCGGGCTCCCTGGGACACTAACAGACACCTGCGCCCCGGGAGAGTGCTCCGAGCTCCCTAAGGGCTGCAGCGCGCACGGCGGGGACCGACCGGAGCAGCTCGGAGGGGCTCGGGCGGCGGCTCCGCGGAGGGGGCTGCGGGGCGGGAGCGCGAATCCAACAGCGCAGGCCCCGGGGCACAGGGCGCCGGGACACAGCCCAGGATCCGGCCTCCCCCGGGACAGGCAGAGGCCGGGAGGGCCCAGGACAGCGAGGACGCTCCTGCCCCGAGTTGAGCAGATCAGCGGCCCCGCCCCGGAGCCTCCAGGCCCGGACGGAGAGCCGAGAGCCCCGAGCCCGAGCCCCGTAGTTCCTGCGGAGGCTGAATCCAGGCTTCCAGAGTTGCCGTAGCAACTGCTGCTGTTCCTCCTGGGGCCTGGCGGGGTAAACAACCCCCGCTGAGCCCGGCAGCAGGCAGGGGCAGAGCAGCTCCCCCAAGTGCTAACACCTGAAAATCAGCACAGCAGGCCCCTCCCCCAGAAGACCAGCTGGACGGACCAGTGATACTCCCCCGTGTTCCAATACAACTTGTTTTTGGCCACTCTGCACTGAGCAAAATGACTAGAAGGAAAACCTCACCTCAAAAGAAAGAATCAGAAACAGCCCTCGCTCCCACAGAGTTACAAAATCTGGATTACACTTCAATGTCAGAAAGCCAATTCAGAAGCACTATTCTACAGCTACTGGTGGCTCTAGAAAAAAGCATTAAGGCCTCACGAGACTTCATGACTGCAGAATTTAGATCCAATCAGGCAGAAATTAAAAATCAACTGAATGAGATGCAATCCAAACTAGAAGTCCTAACGACGAGGGTTAACGAGGTGGAAGAACGAGTGAGTGACATAGAAGACAAGTTAATGGCAAAGAGGGAAACTGAGGAAAAAAGAGATAAACAATTAAAGAACCACGAAGACAGATTAAGGCAAATAAATGACACTCTAAGGAAGAAAAACCTACGTTTAATTGGGGTTCCCGAGGGCGCCGAAAGGGACAGAGGGCCAGAATATGTATTTGAACAAATCCTAGCTGAAAACTTTCCCAATCTGGGAAGGGAAACAGGCATTCAGATCCAGGAAATAGAGAGATCCCCCCCTAAAATCAATAAAAACCGTTCAACACCTCGACATCTAATAGTGAAGCTTGCAAATTCCAAAGATAAAGAGAAGATCCTTAAAGCAGCAAGAGACAAGAAGTCCCTGACTTTCATGGGGAGGAATATTAGGGTAACAGCAGACCTCTCCACAGAGACCTGGCAGGCCAGAAAGGGCTGGCAGGATATATTCAGGGTCCTAAATGAGAAGAACATGCAACCAAGAATACTTTATCCAGCAAGGCTCTCATTCAAAATGGAAGGAGAGATAAAGAGCTTCCAAGACAGGCAGGAACTGAAAGAATATGTGACCTCCAAACCAGCTCTGCAAGAAATTTTAAGGGGGACTCTTAAAACTCCCCTTTAAGAAGAAGGTCAGTGGAACAATCCACAAAAACAAGGACTAAATAGATATCATGATGACACTAAACTCATATCTGTCAATAGTAACTCTGAACGTGAATGGGCTTAATGACCCCATCAAAAGGCGCAGAGTACCATGGACTTTCTTCAGAGACTTAGAACAAATTATTTTAAGATTCGTGTGGAATCAGAAAAGACCCCAAACAGCCAGGGGAATTTTAAAAAAAGAAAACCATATCTGGGGGCATCACAATGCCAGATTTCAGGTTGTACTACAAAGCTGTGTTCATCAAGACAGTGTGGTACTGGCACAAAAACAGACATATAGATCAATGGAACAGAACAGAGAACCCAGAAGTGGACCCTGAACTTTATGCTCAACTAATATACGATAAAGGAGGAAAGACGATCCACTAGAAGAAAGACAGTCTCTTCAATAAATGGTGCTGGGAAAATTGGACATCCACATGCAGAAGAATGAAACTGGACCACTCTCTTGCACCATACACAAAGATAAACTCAAAATAGATGAAAGATCTAAATGTGAGACAAGATTCCATCAAAACCCCAGAGAAGAACTCAGGCAACACCCTTTTTGAACTTGGCCACAGTAACCGGAGAAGGACAAACAGTGTATGTTCTCATTCATTTGGGGAATAGGAATAATAGCGAAAGGGAATATAAGGGAAGGGAGAAGAAATGTGTGAGAAATATCAGAAAGGGAGACAGAACATAAAGGCTCCTAACTCTGGGAAATGAACTAGGGGTGGTGGAGGGGGAGGAGGGCGGGGGGTGTGGGTGAATGGGTGACGGGCACTGAGGGGGACACTTGATGGGATGAGCACTGGGTGTTATTCTGTATGTTGGTAAATTGAACACCAATAAAAATTAATTTATAAAAAAAAAAAAAAAGAAAAAGAAATATAGCCCAAGAGCCTTTACTGGAAAGGAGGCTGGTACTCCGGGGAGAGATGCCGGAGATGGCCTCAGGATCCCTCATCCCAAAGAGTGACCCCATCTTGGGAAGGAGAAACTTGCCAGCCAAGAACTCCAAGTAGCGTTTCCCTCCCAAGCTGAAGACTGAGAGGATTAAGAAACCCAACTCTCAACCAACTGCAGCAACCCTTTATTTAGTAAATTTAGTAAATTTAGTAAATTTATTTACTCAATAAATATTTACTATATGCCAGGCTTGTAAACTCTGGGAACACAGTGTGCAACATGGTGAAATGGTCCTTTGTCCTTTCAAGACTTAGAGTGCAGTGGAGAAAACAGGCACCAAACACAGTAATGGACACATAAAATTATTACAAATCATGGTAAGTGCTCTGCAGAAAATAGTTTTATTCAAGACAAACACTTTCAGAAACTCCCTGTACACATGGCAGGCAGACCAGACTTATCTAGTGAAAATATCTTTAAATGTTGGGTCAAATCTACTGTTACTGCACCTTCTCCATTTTCAAGCTGCTTTTACCTTTGAAAATATCTTTAAATGTTGGGTCAAATCTACTGTTACTGCACCTTCTCCATTTTCAAGCTGCTTTTACCTTTGAGCAAAGAATATATATACTGGCCTTTCTAAAAAAAAAATATTTATTTATTCATGAGAGACACAGAGAGAGAGAGGCAGAGACATAGGCAGAGGGAGAAGCAGGTTGCCCACAAGAAGCCTGATGCGGGACTTGATCCAGGATCCCAGGATCATGCCCTGAGCCGAAGGCATATGCTCAACCGCTGAGCCAGCCAGACATCCCAATACTGGCCTTTGATATGACCATTCTTTAACACTGAAGGGTGACCAGGACTTTTCTGTCATAAATAGTTCCAGTTCTTTCAACTCTTGTTTATCATGAAGACAACATATTTGAAATCCAGCTGAGCCACAGAGAAGATGCTAGACACTTGATTATCTGAGCTTCAGAATTTCCTCAACTGTGGAGTGCAGATAGTAATCTATACTTTGCAGGGTTGGTTTAAGAATCAGAAACAGTGTATGTAAAGCAATGCTTTGTACCCACTTCATCTCTCTGTGTCTGGCCTCCTTACAAATACAAACAAGAAGCTGTTATGTTACCGTAGAATGTAATGTTCAGGATCAGCTTCAAGGCTCTGGTCATGGGATCACTGAAGCAAAATGCCAGGGAATGATCTTGTCATTTATGTGGGCTGCCTGTTGGTGCTCATGGAGCTTGGGACAGATACCACCTTTATACTCTGATGCGACACAGTACTCTATCAGCTCACCCTCCACTGTGATCACCATCTGATCCACAAGCATATCATGAGAAAAGCAGTCGAAGTTTTACTAAGAATCACTTATAAAGAAACAGGTACAGATGTGTGTGGGAGATCTTGAGCCTGACCATCAGAAGGGAAACAAACATACACAGTGCCAACAAAGTTCTGTTTTTATAAGGTTCATTATAAGTATATATACTTATAAGTATATATTAAGTATAAGTAAGTTTGAACATGAGCTCTGAACAGGTAAGCTTTGAACAGGTGTCAGAATTTCTTTTTAGCACAGTACCTGTCGACGGTGCAGCTGACGTTGCTGGTGGAGCTGTGCTGACTGTGCTCTGGTTTGTCCACCGAGAGGCGAGCCCGGCCCTTGCCATCGCCCGTTGATAGTTATCATAGAGAGTCTTTCCATACTGGGGAGAGAACACAAAAGAAGCAAGAAAGGAATCCGTTTATCCCAAATCCGGCACTCAATTGCAATATATATATATCGAGTAAAAAGCACCTTATAGCTACTCTTTTTACTTCTTTCTTGAGATTTTTTTTTTAGTATATTTCAACTAAAAAAATTCATAGATTGTTTTCATGTGTTAAGTGATTTTCCAGATTAGCAGAGTCAGTTAATACTTTTACCTAGATGTTAGAGGAGAGCTTTTGCCTCTCAGTTCTGATTACATAGGTCTTCATGTAAATCTACTACAGGTTACGTGTTGTACTTTTTAATTACATACTATATGTGCAAAGCTCTCCCTGAGTAAATATAAAGACCTTCGAAGACTCACAGGAGACTAAACCCTTGATTCTCAGGTCATTGGAAAGGTCTGTGTTTCCATCACTCTCTTCTATTAAAAAAGCCCCAAGGGCCAGAAAATAAAATGACATCAGGAATGCTGACCCATCCTTAATGGATGGTCATTTTGAAGTAGTACAGAGACTGCACTCAGGTTGCAGTGCGGGTGTACAATCCAAGACAGGCTGTGTCCAAATGGTCTCTTACCTTGGCAATCCTTATTCCCATGACCCACTGGTTTAGGGTCCTTGCATCATCACAGCAGAGATATTTGATATACTGGGACTCCTTCTGAATTTGGGGATGCTAGAAAAAAGTGATTTCAAAGACCATTTATAAACTTATTTATTAGCATCTTTCAAAAAATTTTAAAAAAACAACGTATGTGATTCCTGAGATAGTGGAAAACTGCTGGTAGTAATTTTAGGATTAGGAATAGGAGTACTTTTATCTTACTATTTTTAAAAGATTTTATTTATTTATTTTAAGAGAGAGAGAGCACGCAAGTGGGGTGAGGGCAGAGGGAGAGAATCTAATCTCAAGCAGACTCCCCGCTGAACGTGGAATCCAACACTGGGTTCAGCCTCATGAGGAACCAGGGTACATTTAAATGGACTCATTATCATTTTTAGTAAGTTTTATTATATAGAAAAGTTACAACTATAACCATTGTGGGTGAAGTTGTGTGCATAAGACCACCTCTTCTGCCTCCAACCCTCAGAGAAGCTTGTTAATCCTGCTGGAATGGGGAGAAACCGGTGGTGGTGCTGAGCATGAAATGGAATGCCAAGAGAGTGGGAAGCCATTTTCAGGGGCAGGAAAGGAGTGGAGCTGCCGGCTCCTCTCTTAAAGAGTATCGCACAGATCTCTCTCCTTCGCTTTTGCTTTTGGCTTCGTTACTGACCGTCAAGGAAATGGCTATTTTCAAAATTGATCTAGGTCAAGGGCATTGTGCCTCTGAACATCAGTTTGAGTCTGAGAAACAGCATCTCAGCTAGTCACCCTGCTGATGTTTCTTACAACTTGGTGGCATTGCTGTCATTGCCCAAAAAGGAGAACAAGACCTGTTACAGGCTCTAAGAGCTTGATGAGAGGTTAGTAAATTTTGGTTTTACAAATGAGAAAACAAGGCCAAGAAAAGTTATTATATATTTTATGCCATGGTCCACTAGAACTTTGGGGGGGTCTCTTGTCCTGCTACCTAGAATTTCTGTATTTTTATGAAGCTCTTAGGCCAAATTTCCAAACTTTAAGGATACCACAGAAAAATTAAGAAATTGTAAAGAATTCTTCCCTGTGGCCTTTTGACCAGTTGAGGAAAGTTCACCTTCATACTTCTGTCTGTAAATGGACCATTCTCTTTGTTTAGGTCCCTCCGCTCTGAGAATCTGCTTCTGCATCACTTGCAGGATGGTCTTAGGTTTTCCTGAGGGTGATAGCCCTGGGCTCCCCAGGGCGGCCTGTAGTTTTCCATTCTGGCCAGCAGATGGTGGCACACACTTCTGAATGGCTGCTGCACATTTCCCTGTTGTTGGGGTTCAGTGTTTCCTCATTCATTCTGAATGTGAGATTTTAGCTTTATAACTGTCACGCCAACGATCATCATCTGTGGAGGCCTTTAAAATCAAAACTCTCTATCAACTCAGATAATGTGGCCCCACAGCAAAAATAGATTTGTAACATTAATGAACTAGAAGGTCATGCTGATGACAAGTGACTTATTTCCTGGATGGAATGTGACGTTCCAGAGATGCCTGCAGCACGCCCTCCCGTAATAAAATCCACAAAGCCAAAACAAAGTTCTTGTCTTTCAGCACCAGAAACCCAGCTCCCTAACTTACAACAGCATTCTTGTTGACAGTCATGCAAGGGGGTGAACGGGTCTCTTCAGCACGAGCAATTAATGTTTGTAATTTTTCTTAGAAAGCAACTCTTATTTTTTTTTTTTCCTGAGAAATTTTAAAAGTTAACACTGTTAACTTGGTTAACTTGGCTTGGTATATTAAAATATTTTTTAAAAGATTTTATTTATTTATTCATGAGAGACATAGAGAGAGAGAGAGAGAGACACAGGCACAGGCAGAGGGAGAAGCAGGCTCCATGCAGGGAGCCCGATGTGGAACTTGATCCTGGGTCTCCAGGACTACACCCTGGGCCGAAGGTGGCACTGAGCCGGTGAGCCACCCAGGCTGCCCTGTTAAAATATTTTTCATTTGTTTTTTGGTTTTCACACCACATGAGAGCCAGGTTCCTAATAATAGACTACATATCATATTGTGCTTGCAATGAGGTGTACACATCAGCTCTCTGTGTAGAGGTATCCACTTATACAGCACAATTAATAAATTCTTAAGTATGTTATTTATCCAAATAGAGTAAAATGTGGATATTCTATTAAATAAAATGGGTTTTGAGGATAAAACAGAGGCAAGAACTCTTGAGACTTGAATTCTAACAGTGGCTTCTCCTATGATGGTGAGGTAGATGTACAGACCTTGGTTCATTCTCTCCCACATTCTCACTGACTTCCTTACACTACACACATACACCGCAAATGTATACAGGAGAGTTAACATCAGATGACCTCAAAAGTTGCTTGCAATCCTCAGATGTTATGGTTCTAAAGTGAGCTATCTAGTGGGCACGAGCCTTTCTGACTCCCAGGATGTCATATAGCAAAGTCAGCGTGTTTGTTTTCCAGTCATGGCTTAGGACTTTGCCAGGGGGTTTGCTCCCTAACTGAGCCTTTTACTGAAAAATCATTTGCAAAGGGGTTTAAGAAAAAAAAAAAAAAAAAAAAAAAAACACTGGTTCAGTACCACTGGCCAGACTCTTGTGCAATAGATTTAATTTAATTGTGCTGTACATACTACAAGAGAACCTCTTGTAGTATGTACAACACAGTACACAAGTGTCAGGGCAATTGTAGAACATTACTGTTAAAAAGGATCTTAACAGATCTCTAAACTGAGGTAACCGATGTGTTACAAAGGAGAAGACTGTGCTAGAGAGGTTAAGCCATTTGTCTAAGGCCAAAGTAGTGTCTGAACTAAGAAATATACTAAGTACTAAGAAATATAGCCCTCATTAATAAAGATGAGTAAGGCACTCACACCATAATTAGGACATGGTGGCTGGGGAATGTTGCTGGAGGAGACATATGTAAACAAATTTATGATTACCCTATGATATGGTGAATTTCATAGTAAAAACTTGAAACAGAGAATGAGAAGGCTCTTTGGAAGAAGTGTATACCAATACTCTGTCACATCTGAGGAACATCTAGAAATTCTCTGTGTGACTAAGACCTGGGAGCCATGGAAAGAAGAGGCAGCAAATGAGCAGAAGCCAGAGTCAAGAGCCTTGTGTCAAACTAGCATGTGGACACTGTCCTGTAGGCATCAGACATTTAGGAGAGCACAGTGATACAAACGGCAATGGCAGTTACGTGGAAGATGGGCCTGGAATGGGGAGGAGGGACCAACAGAGAGGGCTGGATTAGAGACATCTCTGATGGAAAATCAGAGCTTGATGATGGATTGGACAAGAAAGGGAAGAGGACTTCTAGGATGATTTTTCTATTTCTAACTTGGAAAAGTAGGTGGTTATTATGGATTTAACTGTTTCCCCTTTATGTTGCAGTCCTAAATGCTGATACCTATGAATGTGACCTTATTTGTAAATAGGATCTTTGTAGATATAATCTAGATGAGATGAGGTCATGCTTGATTAGGGTGGGCCTTAATCCAAAATAACTGGTGTCCTTGTGGGAAGAGAACAAACAAGCATGCAGAGAGTGGAGGGCCATGTGAATACAGAGGCAGGGATTGGCGTTATAAAGCTGTAAGCCAAGGAGTGCCAAGGATTGCTGGAAAATGGCAGAAGCCAGGAGAGAGGCATGGAACAGATATTCCCTCAGAGCCCTCCAAAAGGAGCCAACCCTACTGACACCGTGATTTTAAACTTCTGGATTCCTGGAATTGTGAGAGCATAAATTTCTGTTGTTTTAAGTCAGCCAGTTAGTGGAACTTTCTTATGGTAGCCCCCCAAAAGTAATACAGTGGGTGGTGGTACCATCATCTTGATAGGGACTGCAGAAAGGAGTAGTTCATGAGGGTGGAGAACGTGCTGAAATTACTACCTGACAGGTTATGACTGAAGTGTCTTTGGACACGTGCTTGTTTCAGGTGTAAGACGGAAGAAAGTGAAACAATTCGCTATAGACTGGGAATTCTTAGTGTACAGACAAAAGCTGGAGCTGTGGCTGTGAAGATTTCTCAGAAAGAGCAGGAGTCTGGTGAGAACAGAATATAGAACCCCAGAGAACATTCCAGGGTGTGTGGGAAGAGGAAGAACTCACAGAAATAGAGGAGCAGGTGGATAGAGGGGTCTGGGCTGAGGGTGAGGCAGTTATCACCAATGCAAATGATGCCAGGAAGATCAGACACCCGAGGATTGACTGAAACTCCTGACTGTTCACCAGAAACTTTAACAATAGTTTCAGCACAGGAGGGAGGAGTTCCAAGTTCTTTGTTTTGTTCACCATGTATCCTAAGGTACTGGATAGCAGTAGGCTGGAGAGAAATATTTTGGAATGAATGAGTTTTATTTGCAGAATAACAGTTGAAGACAAGGAGGAGATATTGCTTTCTTAGGAAGTCTGCGTGAAAGGGAATGCAGAAGCCCAAGGCATGGGGCAGATCAAACTGAGGGAAGTGATTATAGAACCTCCCCTACCCACCCAGGGAATACCTGAATGTGTTGTAGCCCAAGAGAAGAATTCTCTGGAGAGACGTTGAAGATGCTGAAGCAAAAGGGAGTCCCTGATGGTGTGGTCCTAGGGAAGGGCTAATGTTGGAGGCACTGAGCTTGGAAGAGAGAGCCTTTTCTTCTGAGACACAAAGTTGGAAGGATGATGATTGTATCAAGTTAAGTTCAGAGGTAAAGAGGAAGTAGACCAGGGCAACTCAAGCCTTTCCTTCCCTGTCTTCTCCAAGTAGAAGGCAAGGTGTGCTGACTGAGAGGCTCGCAGGTGAGATACTCTGAGAAAGTATAGATGATGTCAGGGGATGAAGTCGAAGACTGAGTTGTGTGGAAAGCAGGGGAAAAGCTGCTAAAATCTGTGAGTGCAGAGGCTGACCCAGTCAGCAAAAAGCAGACTCAAGACCCAAAAGTGAGTGACTTAGCTCAACTGTGTGAGCCCCACATTATGACATGGCTCTTGAGTAGGCTAGGGAAAGAGAGTACAGTAGCAAGAGAATGTTGACCCTAAATCCTAGCTCCAAGAAATTCAAGATAGGAGTGAGAAGAGTTTGTTCTCAAGAGAACACATTTCATTTTTAACGATAAGCGTGAGGTGACCTCACCTAAGTTCATGAACCTCTGTGAGTTTCTGCTTCCACATTTAAAATGTAGAGATGATAATACCTCCCTTAAAGGGCTGTTGAAAGGTTAAGTGAAATAATGTATGAGAAGAACCCAACACAGAGCCCATAACATGAGAGGGCATGTGACTATTAATAACAGAACCAAAAACAAACAAACAAACAAACAAACAAAAAAACAGAGCCAGGTTTTGAAGAGTACAATGGGGCAGGGGGCTTGACATGCATTTTTGTTCTTTGATTCAACAGATGTGAGTTAAGCATTTAATACCTCTTCAGGCTCTGGAACATAATAGTAAACACAACAGAAAAAGTCCCTGCCCTCAAGGTGTTTTTATTCCACTAGGGTAGAAATCCAATAAAAACAGAAAACACTAAGTAATATAATTTCAGATTGTGAAAACTTCTGTGAAGAAAATGTAGCAGAGTAAGGGGTGGAGGGAAGATGGATGGGTAGGGAGCCGAATTCCAATGCTCTTTCCAAGATATTCCACCACTTCTGAATAGACCTTGATCAACCCTCATTTCTCCTGGAAGATATTTACTTCCCCATCATCTCATTTAGCCTCAGAATGGAGCGAGCAAGAATTCACAAAGGAGGGACTTCATCACAGGCTCAGGATGGGAGTGTGCATCAAAGAAAGAGTGCAAGGGAAGGAATGATTCTTGAGTACTAAATCCTTCCTTCGGATTCTAATCTCTTTCCCATGAGTATGCACAACCTCTCAAGGACAGGTGAAGAGCTAATTCCTGGGCGTGACCTCAGACACTGAATCAGAAACTCTGGAGCCCCAGAAATCTGTGTTTTAGCATCTCGGTGATTCTCATGCACACAAAAATTTGAGAACCACTGGTCAATAGAAATATTACTTAATGATAAAGTGTTGTAATAATGACCCAATTAATGAGTGCTATGTTTCTAGACATGGAACTCAGGGTGTTTTGAACATACATTATTTAATCCACATAAGAAGGGTTGGGTGTAATCATCCTCACTCTGTAGAAGCGGGCAATGGGGCGTAGAGTGTTGATAATGTGCCAGGGGGACAGGCCAGGACTCAACTCTCCCATCTTCCTGACAGCACCCCCCAATGGACTGTCATAATCAGTAAACTCACACTAAATAAGAAACTTCTGGACTGGATTTCTCAATCAGTACATAGCTATGGAATCACACAATCTCTTAACATGCTTCTCCATATCCTGAATCCCTTTTGTAATGTATATGCGTATTCTTTGAATTCTGTACATCTGTTTGCCCTGATGAAATATTTTAATATCAAGAGGTTTTTTTCCCCCCAATATGGACAGAAAGGGAAATAAGTGACCAAATGTTCATAAACAAATTAAGTTCTTCAAACTGTGAGAGACCCTTTTACTCAGCAAATTAATAACAATTCCCAGTATTCTGGGAAGGAACTGAGAACTCAGCATGCTTAAGAGCAGAATAAGCAGAGTGATTGCTCATAAAATTGGTTCGAGAACAAAACTGATCATGTCCTGAGAAAAAGGGAAATGTTCTATGAGGATTGCTCGTGACTCCTGTCCATTTCTATATCCATCAGGCCTGCTTTCTTCTCTGTCTTGGAGCCCTGTACCTCCGCCTCCACAACACATACACACTCTTCAGGGAGGCCCCCAACCCTCTCGTGAAGGCTTAGGCCTTGGATATGTGGGTTTTTGATACCCTAGTCCAATACCCCAGGCCTCAGCATGGCCATTCTTCGTGCAGCCCAGTAACCTGCATCCCAGGTCAGATCATTGATACCATGATTCCAGGATCTACTTCCAAACTTGTGAGTTGACACAAGAAACCGAGCTCTTGTCCTGCTCACTGTGTCTAAACATCATCCTGGGATGTCTGGGTCTGGGGCCTTGTCTTTCTCTCACCAGGTGCTCCAGCCTCTGGTACCCAGCCCTGAGATTGGGGCAGCCTCTACTTCCTCCGGACACCTGTCATTCAATTTTTCCACTGTAAAGTGCATTCCATTACCAGCTAAGCCCTGACTGTTGATGTTTAGAGGTAGGACGCATTCTAACACTGAGTGTAAAACTTGGCTATGCTCTGGGAAAGCAAAGATTCCTTGGCCCCATCCTTAAACGTTCTGAGTCAGTGGGTCCAGGGCCTTGGAATGTGTATTTCTACCATGAGTTTAAGTCAGCCAGTTACTGAGTAGCATTTCAGAACCTCTTTCAAAGCCTTCTCCCAGCTTAACAGATGTGGGCATTGGAATGTACACAGGGAAATGAGGGCCTCCAGTATGGTAGTATCTCAGGGTCTCAGAATTCCTTTTTTTTTTTCCTCGTGCCCCCCCCCCCCCCCCCCCCCCGCTGCCAGGGTCTCAGAATTCCAAACAAGGGCCATGGGGTCAGACAGGAACACAATGAATGCACAGTTCAGGCCAGCTGCCAGCAGGGGAGGGGCAGGGCAGAGATCCTGCATCCTATCAAATAGCAGTCTGAGAGAGTGGCCTCTCAGCCACTACCTGGTTTCTCTATCTCTCTCTTTTTTTAAAAAAAGTAGGCTCCACACTGGGTGGAGATCAATCTCCAATGTGGGGCTTCAATTCATGACTTGAGCTGAAATCAAAAGTTGGACGCTTAACCAACTGAACTACCCATGCTCCCCACCACCTAGTCTTAACCTTGTCCGGCCGCTTACTGGTTGAAGAGTCTCTGTGCTCGGGTGCCACATCTATATTTTAGGGAGAATTATGGCTCTTACCTCAAAATGTTGGTAAGATGATTAAATGTGTTAATGTATGTAAAGTGCTTAAGAGGTTGCATTATAGATGCTATGTGTTTGTCATTATTCTCACAACCCCATCTATACCAGGAACAGAAAAGGAGAGGCAGGAACCTGAAGCAGGCAGGACATTCTCATCTCTCTTCCTACTGACCCAAATGGGACCCCACCTCAGGGCCTTTGCACTTGCTGGTCCTGTTTCTGGAATGCTCTTCCCTGGGTAATTCTTCCTCCCTCACTTTACTCACATCTTTTGTTACATGTCATTCCTTCAGAGGCCCTTTCCCTGACCAACCCACTTAAAGAAGCCCTGGTCCTTGCACACAGGGTCCCCTACCCTGCTTCATATTTATCCGGAGCCTTAGCATTGCATGATAATCACATTTTTTTTTTTGTTTATTGCCATTTTCCTCACTCTAAACTCTATGAGAACACGGATTATTGTACGTTTGGGTCACCTCTGTATTCTGAGCCCCTGGGACAGTACCTAGTACCTAGCAGGTAGCTGGCATTCAATTGATATTGAGTATATGATGAATGAATAAATGAATGAATGAATGCCCAGACTGCCTGTGCTCAATCAGAGTTTTGGGAATGTTGGGTCTAGGGAACACCCAACTCCTGCAGTAATGTGAGTGACAATACCACACTAGTGTCGGCACCTCTGAAATGACAGAGCGGGTACATGATCATCTCTAATGATGTGGTCCTTGACAAAGGTTATATTTGCCACACACGTAGATGTTAAGTGTTGTCCTCCACTTATGAAGGTGATATAAACCTATAGTATAGACTTTGAACCACTTTGGAAGGAGAGGTGACAGCTTTGCCAAGGAGTACATGAGCACACACGTGCAGCCTGGCAAGGATACATTTCTACAACCGTGGTGATGGGTTCTTCCTCAGGGGGAATGGGTGATTGAGCTACCGAACAATCTCACCAGGAACCTGATTTTATTAACACCTACCTGCTCCACAGACTTCCATCTCAGATGGAGAATGAGGAACCTGACTCTCAAGAGAAGCTCTGCACATAGCCTTGGGCCATACCTATGGATTTAGATAATCGGCACTCTCTGGCATGAAATGTGATTGAGGGGCTGAGAAGGAAAAGGAATTTACGGTGTTTGAACCAAAGTATGGTCGGAATAGCTACATAAACTCCCTGAATCCATTTCTAGGAGTCAGTTGTTAATTTGGCAGAAGACAGTTACTTCTACCCAACCTTCCAAAATGTGGTGCAAATGTAAACCTGACCAAACACTTGATAATTGCCTTTTGATAATATACTCCTTAAAAAACTTCAAGATCTAGTAAGGCTATTTTTAGACTAAGGGTCCCCCCCCCCCATTTTTTATATTTTCTGTATTTTTCTAGGAAATCTTGTCAAGTTCCTAATTTCTAAAAACTTCTTACAGCGGAATAACGGTCCAATAAAGAACTGAGAAACTGTATCAGATTTGTTCAAGATGGAGAGCTTTCATTTTTATAAGTGATGAAGAAGACTGGATAGATTCATGATAAAGTTTTAAATTTAGAAACAGGAACTGAGGGTAGAAATGCTTCCACCTTTCCTATTTTGGTTTGAAATGAAAAAAAATTATTATGATACACACTTGTGGTTAATGATATTACATTTTAACATTTTTTTCCTTAAAAGGATATTTTAACTCGAATTGCTCACCAGTCTAAATCAAGAACTTCTTACGACATACCTTTAAAACAAAGCAGTAGTCAGTGGGTGCTTTGTATTTCATTTTACACTGAATCCCATAGTAAATGTTGACATTTTCAAACTGTATAAAACATGCCAGATCTCGAGATGTCTGTAAAAGAAGGAAAAAATACATTTCACTGCGTTGACAGCTTAATAATTTTTCAAGGTTGTCCTTGATGGCACAACTAAGGGTTACATATTAGCAGAACAATACTGAATTTTAGATTAACCTATTTAAGCATCTATCATGTTATACATTTTCTAAAAAGTCAGGCTGGCATTTTCAGAGGTAGAAGAGCACACCGAAGACAAAACAGTGTGCCACACACCCAGAGATGGAGTGGAATATTGTACTGCTGTTCTGGCACCTGCACGTGGACTCCTGGGGCCAGAGCTGACTGGCTGACCTTGAGACATCCTTACAGATGCAGTGGGGACGAGAGGACTGACCACCTAGTCTGAAATTTCATGTTGGCTTTTGCCATTCTGAGTCAGTGATTTTCCTAATTGAGCATTAGAAGAGAAAAAAGTCATCCTCAGGATGAACAATAAGAGGTAAATATGATGCTCAGGAAATCAGCACACACTTCATGCACTTCTCTCTGAGAAAAAAAGACTCCTTTCATGCTTTCCCATTAGGGCTGGCAGTGTTGCTATGGAGACAGAACCTCTCCTCCATGTCTCATGCTCCTTGTGAGGATTCCAACCTCTAATCTACATATTTGGTTACATTTCAATTACAAATTTGCCCTATTACTCTTTTTTTTTGCCTTTACATTCTTTAATTCTTTAGCAGGTGAGTGAATAAAGGAGAGAGAGCAAACGCTACCTCTCAGTGCACAATGCCTCCTTTAAAGATGGTTGCACAGTTTTTATCTTTGAAGATATTTTCTTCTGGATTTTCAAAGTCTTTTTTTTTTTCAAATTGAAAAAATAGAACGTATAAACCATAATTTTATATATAAAAATTAATGATTTATATAAACTTTATATATAGACTTTATATACTACATTGCTTATAAAATTATGCTTACACACACACACATATAATAAAATGAAAATTTCTTCCACACTCCTTTTTTCTAATTCTACTCTTTTCTCTGAAAGTACCATTGTTTTGAAGTATTCTTCCAAATGTTTTCGGGTGAACATTTATATACATATGTATGTGTAGACATACCCACATACATACATACCCACATACCATTTTAAAAATATGAATGAGAGTTTACTATAAATAGTGTTTCAGAAACTTGTTATTTTCTTAACATAGTATCTTGGTCTCCCTATGTCAGACATATGGATGGATACAGGACAGTCATGTAATGGCTGCAGAGCACTCCACTCTGTGGGCGTAATGATTTATTTAACCATTCCTACCAAAGATGACTAGAGGTTATTGCAATATTTTGCTCTTGCAAAAATACTGTACATGTGAGCAAATATTTCCGTGGGGGTAGATTGTGAAATGTGGAAGCTGCCATTTGAAAGGGCATTCTCCTTTATATTAATAGATCTTGTTAAATCAGCTGTACCAGTTTACATTCCAACATTTTGTGTTGACATTGCCCATTTTTCTTACTCCTGCTGAAAGCTGGATATTATCAACATTGTTGATTTTATCAATCTTGTAGGAAGAAATATTTCACTTTTTAATTTACATTTCCCAGATTACTGGTAAGAAAGGGCAACCTTTTAATTATTCACTGGCTACTGATTTTTTTTTAGTATTAAATTCTCAATAAGCATTGCCGTTTTTCTATGAGCATGTTTTTTTTTTTCTTATTGACTTGTTGAAATCTTTGTATTTTATGGATATTTGTACTGGATTATATACATGCTGGAATGTACTCTCTAATGCCAGAGATAGTCTTTAACTTCTTGTTTGGTATCTTTGGCCTTAGAGTTAAAAAACACTTCACACAGTCAAATTTATCAATTTTCTCCATTATAATTTTGAGTTTTTAGCCTTGATGAAGGTTTTTCAACCCCTGAATTATGAAAATATTAACCTATATTTTCTTAGAGAATTTAAAAAATATAGATAAAAGGAGATTTCATACTTTTTGTAAATATATCTAATCAATCTAGGATTTAATTTGGCACATGGGAGGATACCTGGGTAGCTCAGTGGTTGAGTATCTGCCTTCAGCTCAGGTTGTGATCCCAGGATTGAGTTCCACATTGGGCTCCCTGGAAGGAGCCAACTTCTCCCCTCTGTCTATGTCTCTGTATCTCTCATGAATAAATAAATAAAATCTTAAAAAAATAATTTGAAACATGGTATGAGGTAGGAAACTACTTTCTCCAAATGGATAGACAATTATTTCAATGCTATTTATTAAATACCACCCCTCTGAGGAATTTTAGAATCAGTCTGTGAATTTCAAGTAAAAACTATCCTATTGAGATTTTTTGGGGGATTTAACATACAGAAAGTTTGGGAGAGAATTAATATTTTTTCATCCACCAGCATGGTAAATTTTTATTTATTCAGTTCTAGTTCACTTCTTTTATTGCATTTTATATTTTATACCACATTGGTCTTGAACATTTCCTGTTTATTGTTAGGTATTTTGTATTTTTTGTTCCCTACTATGCATGAATTGTTTTCATTTGCATATTGTTTGTACAAAAGAAAACAATTTATTTGGTAAATTTATTTGGTCCTAATAGTCTTTCAGTTGAGTGTCTTATATTGTGTGGTAGACGATCACATCAAGTGTGAATAAAGCGAGTTTTGCCTCTTCTTTTAAAAAATTCTACTTCTTATTCTTTTTCTTGACTCCTGGCTTGTTCCTCTATTCCAAGGTTAACTGTAGCAATGAGTAAAGTACTCTTGTCCAAAGCTAGTGTGAACAGTTATAATTTTATCACTAAATGTGTTGGGATAGGTTTATCATTCTCATTTACACGTAAATGTCAAAGACTTTTATGTGTGTGTGTGTGTGTGTGTGTGTGTGTGTGTGTGTGTGTGTGTGTTTTCCGAAACACTGTGTCAGTTTTCTGTGATTCACACTAAGTAGGGGCAGTAGGCTGACATAAAACACGCAGTACTGGTTATGCCTCTCCTGCATTCTGATGGGTAAGAGAGGCTTCTCACTAGAGGAAGAGACCTGGATATTTCCCAGGACTTCACCTGCTTGGGAATGTGGGTCAAGCCTTATTAGAAACAGCCTGAGGGGATGCTCAGTGGTTGAGTGTCTGCCTTCCGCTCAGGTCATAATCCCGGAGTCCTGAGATTGAGTCCTGCATCAGGCTCTCCGCAGGGAGCCTGTATCTTCCTCTGCCTATGTCTCTGCCTCTCTGTCTCTCAAGAATAAATAAATAAAATCTTAAAAAATAAATAATAAAAGGAAGCAGGCTGCAATTTGTACATATGCCATTTGGTGATGCCCTGGATTCAGCAGTGAAGGCAAAATGCTTCAGCGTACCTCAGATAATATAGATGAGAGAGGTATTCTAAAGCTTTTAAAGGTAAACAAGATGCAAATGCCCAAAACCTCTAAAAAAAGCTCTTAGAAAAAAAAGCTAATGGTCAGAATGAGAGTTAAAATTCATTTCAGGGATCCCTGGGTGGCGCAGTGGTTTGGCGCCTGCCTTTGGCCCAGGGCGTGATCCTGGAGACCCGGGATCGAATCCCACGTCGGGCTCCCAGTGCATGGAGCCTGCTTCTCGCTCTGCCTATGTCTCTGCCTCTCTCTCTCTCTCTCTCTCTGTGACTATCATAAATAAATTTAAAAAAAAAAATTTAAAAAAAAAATAAAAAAAAAATAAAATTCATTTCAAAAATGAATAATTTAAGGTATGCTTATAGATCAGAGGCAATAATCCTAAATCACCAAGTAGAAGTTTAATGATATCTAAGATACTGTCCTAAAATAGGCAGGGTAATGCAAACAGCACACTTCAGAGAACAACTTAAATGTTCAGAGTATAAGGGCTACCATCTTAATGTAGCTCTGTCAACACTTATACTTTCATGATTGCAGATAAAAGAAGTTTATTATAATTACCACAGAACAAGAGAGTAAATACAGGGGGAAAAAACCCTCAGAAAAAGATATATGAAGTAACAAATTATCTCTAGAAAAGTGGTGCTTCTGCTATAATTTTTGAAATCTGACTTTAAAACAGATAAAATTCTTCACCTACAGGAGAAAAGCTTTGGAAAAATTCAAAAGGACTTCTGCAATTCTGTCTGAATAGGGTGTGTATTTGCACAAACATTGTAGTAACATGAATTTCAGAGCAAAAAAGTGCATTTAGATTGTGATCTGAAGATTTCCTTAGGTTAATTTTCGTAAAATGATTTTTTGACAAAACATTTTATTTTTCTTTCTGACCTTAGTCTTTCCTTTGGGTACATAATAAATTCCAGAAGCCCGTAAAAGAAAATAGCGCCTTTTCCAGGTTTTCTTTCCATCTTCTTTCAAAGAAAGAGCTCCTTCAAGTTCTGGCACAATGATGGATGTCCCACAGAAACTTTCCTGAAAATTGAAAATCCGATTATAGAGAGCACATGAAAGAAAAAAAAAAAACCACATTTTTGTTCGTGTCTAAACAGACTGTGGCAAACTAGCCTTTAAGCTAAAAGTCATTTGTCTATAACTCGGAATGCACACACTTACATCACATGCTACTTGTCAAAAGAGAGGAAGGATATTATGGTGGCTAAATCTCAGCTCTTGAGTTAGACTTCAAGGCTTCTTGACCACTTAGCTTTGCAACTGTGGGCAACTAAATCTCAGCTCCTTTACTTGTAAAAATGGAGTCACAATAGCTTTAGCTTCATAAGAAAGGTTATGAGTATAATCTTGGTATACTATAAAAGTAAGCATTCCATAAAGTTTATTTCTGCTATTCACAAACATGTGCACAGTAATCGACACTGGGCTTCCATGACCTCCCTGGATAGTTGTAATAATTCAGTACAATCCAGGAGACTGAGGTTCCTGGACCTCTCCAATAATTATGAACCTCAATGGCAGACCCAGACCTTGTGTCAGGTTTCCTATCTCCAAAGCTCATACTTCCTACCACACGTGGCTTCCAGAAGAGCATCTTAGAATTCATTGTCAAGTAGGTTTGGAAATCCTTACATCTGACTTGTATGGAGCTTTTTCATTACTTAAATAATGAAAAATATAGAATGTTAAGAGATTAATTTTATGTGGGTTTAAAAGTGTTTTAGTCAAGAATTACTAATCCAACTTCATGAGAGTAAAATACAGTCTAAAGCCATATTTTAAACTGACTCAAAGAACCAGTTTAATTATCTAAATAGCTATAATTTAGTAATAATTTGATTTTAAAACCCCAAGGTAAAATTTCAGTGTGTCTAAGAATCTCCCATTGTTCCAAGAAGCAAATAATTTAAAAATAGATACAGTTAATAGCTTTCTCTTTTCTTTTACTCTGCAAAATTAAACCTACCTCAAGTAAGGATTCCTTGTTCTTAGCATTCATTTTCTCATTTGTTTCCTTTCCTTCTTTTCTTCCTTTGTTATTCAAGTAAAAATTCTAAATAAAATATTAAAAGAGCAGATCAATAAATGTTCTTCACCACGCTAGCCACTGCAGGGAACCATCATGGTCTTGCTGGAGACAGAATATACACCTATAGGAAATAAAGTGGGAACCATAGCATATGGCATCTGTCAACCAAGTGCCTACTAAGGGTTTACCAGTCCTATGGTGTCACTGAGGCAGATGAAAAATCTTCTTCCCTTCTTCCCCTAATGCACAATCAATGAGGAAATAAACATGAGACAGAAAACACTAGCAAAGGACACCATTTAGTTGTTAAATTCCATTGTCTAGAACACATGCCCAGTACTGGAGGCTAGGAAGAGCCTCTTTTTATAAGGATTTCCCAAAGGGTCGGGATCTGTAGCTGTGGCTTCTTCTGAGATTTTCTCTGAGACCCCTCTCACTTTTTCAGCCTCAGAATCAGTTTTTTCCCCCCTCCAAGTGATGGTGCTATACTGTTATTGTTTTAAAGAAAATGGGGTGGGGGGAAATGGGGAAAAAAACCCACAAAGTAAACCTGAGCTGGAGTTCAGGGAGTTCAGGGAGGGTAGTCCTTAGAATGCACAGGCTGCCCTTGGGTCAGAACTTTATCACAACTTTATCATGACTTTTATCAGTCGTGAGGTCAGCCAACTCAATTTGGGCTGCTCTGTAGCAAAAAGCAGAGCTCAAGAGTTAACTCAGTAGCTGTTACCCAGGGAAACTGGATGATCTGAGCTGAACAATAAGAACTTTAAAATGGGAAATGAAACTTTCACTTACAGCTTGCTCCCTTTTCTCACCGCTGAAAATACAAGATTTGGGGGCAGCTGGAGAGGAAAGGAACAAAGCAAACACATTACTTTTTAAATATCACCTTCTTGGAATAAAGAGTAAACCAAGCAGTTACCAGCCCATGAATAAATTATCTTATACACGTAAAATACTCCTGGTTCCTGAGAATATTCTTCTGTCATGTCGAGAAGATATGTATAAACAGATAGCTTTGGGTCTGTAGATGGGAAGATACATAGACAGCACATAAACTCAAAATGAGCCATTTCTATAGCTTTTCAAAGAGGAAAACAAATCCCTGTAGGCTGGAATGGTCAAGGAAGACTTTCCAGAGGAGGTCCAAGTTTGAAATATTGTCCAAATATACTCCAAGGCCTGTCATCAGGTGACTGAGCAATGCCTCCCCTCACAATGGGTGGGACTCATGTCCCTGCCCCACTTATGTTAGATTTAGCCACATGACTTGCTTTGGTGAACAGAACGTGGGTGGAAGAGATAGGGCACTGACTCTGTGCAGAGGACCTGAGAGGCTGTGTCATGTGTTTCCATGCCATCCTCCTGTATTCTTTGCTGTGAGTTCACCAGGAGAAGAGTGTGTCACAGGGAGCTGCTAGTCTGAGGATGGTAAGAGACAAGTGAACTAGCTGAGTCTGACTCACATTCTGGGGCCAAGGATGATGACCTGCAGACCCAGGAGAGAGGAAATGTCTGTGGCTGTAAGCCATGAGGATTCAGAGGTGGTTTAACGCATCCAAGGCTGACAGATGCACATGCCCACACTGGCTGGTGATTAGATCTAGGGCACTGAAGCCAAGGCTAGACTTTCTTTTAAAATAGGAAGCCATATTGGAGACCAAAAATGTGAATACTGTAAGACTTCCTCCTGTAGGCCTGGTCCTGGATGGTCAAAGACAAACCTTGGTGGGAGAGGCAGGTTGGAAAAGAATGGCAGAAAGATGCCATGAAATCATTTTCTCCCTCAGTGGCCGGTACCCTTCTTCACCTGAGAAGCAAAATGAGGTTGTGTTTCTCTCTGTGTTCTTCACTCCTACAGCCACACTGAGCCACAACCACTACCAAATGTCAGTTAAGGAACACAACAAAGGATGGGATGAAAACTGCCTAAAATATCAGCAATGATTATTGTTGGAGTTGCAGGATTACAGATAGTTTAAATTTCATTTCTCCTGTTTTTCAACTTTTTTTTTTCTTTACAGTAAGTCAATGTTATTTTTGAAGTCAGCAAAATAAAGTATGTCATTAAAAGAAATACAAAGCAATTAAATAAGCAAGCAACCTTATATTAACTGATTTGCCAGTACCTTCTTTGAAAAACAGATTTTTCAGGCTCCCAGCAAGAAGAATGGCTATTTTTTTTTAAGATTTTACATATGTATTCATGAGAGACACACAGAGAGAGGCAGAGGCATAGGCAGAGGAAGAAGCAGGCTCCCCATAGGGGGGCTGATGGGGGATTCGATACCAGGACCCCAGGATCACAACCTGAGCCGAAGGCAGAAACTCAACCACTGAGCCACCCAGGTGCCCCAAGAATGCCTAATGTTAATACTGGAGAGCTTCTCTACCTCTAGACATATTCCTCAGTCCTTATACCTCTCTTTTCGTTTCAGGCAACATCACTGGTCTTTGCATAGTGGGACTTAAGTTTCAGCATCACTCTGGGAAAACAGAACTCTTGAGGAGCTGACTCCCATTTCAACAGCTGGCACTTATTTAGGAATAGCCGACCACCCTGTGCTTCCAATCAACTGAGAAGAGGAACTTTTCTAATGACAACCAGACTGAGAAACTAAGCTGCTTTTTAAATAAAGTTGCTTTTATTAGCATAGCAAGTGTCCTCAGGCTCCTGGATGGCTCAGTCAGTGAAGTTGGTGAAGCGATATACTTTGGCTCAGGTCATGATCCCAGGGTCCTGAGGCTGAGGTCCATGTTGGATTCCCCACTTGGCGTGGAGTGTTTCTCCCTCTCCCTCTACTCCTCCCTCTTGCGTGCTCTTTCTCACCAATAAGTAAATTTTAAAAATCTTAAAAAAAGGATAGTAGGTGTCCCAAACTACTTTACCCAAAATAAGCAGTACCACCTTGGGCAAGAGGGGTCCCTGCCCTGACTCCACTCTTTAGAAGGTCTCTGCTCTGACACTCACCCAGCCACTCCCCTACTCACAGGGTGACATGTCTATGGGGCCAATGGGATATGCCCACCTGGAACCAATGACCCCCTACATTTTAGTCCACACTCCACACACCCAGGACCTTGGAATTCCCTGACTAAATGGCCCGGAGACTCTGCCCTATATTCATTCTCCTGCAGGTTTATGGCACTGCTAGCATGTGCATCCTAGGCCAGAGGGTGGCCAAGGGGCAGCTTTTTGCAAGGGAGTGATGGGTTGTATGGAGCCTGCTCTCTGGGCTGGAACATCCACACCATGCATGCAAGGCTCCCATGGCTCAGGATGGATGGGATGGATGGAGGGGGGGAAGTCTAGGGGTTGGTCACGAGCAGTTCCAAGACACCATCTTGCACAGAACTCAAAGAAATCTAAGAATACGGGAATCCCTGGGTGGCGCAGCGGTTTGGCGCCTGCCTTTGGCCCAGGACGCAATCCTGGAGACCCGGGATCGAATCCCACATCGGGCTCCTGGTGCATGGAGCCTGCTTCTCCCTCCCTGTGTCTCTGCCTCTCTCTCTCTCTCTCTCTCTCTCTCTCTCTGTGACTATCATAAATAAATAAAAAAAATTAAAAAAAAAAGAAATCTAAGAATACTAAGTCTAAACTCTTAGGTCATTATGAAGGCAATAAGGTGGGAGGACAGAACACATTTAACTACTTATTAATTTTATTTAGAACTTTAAATATACAGATATACGGTATATAAGCCTTCAATCTACAATTGCCCCAGGCCCTAATAAATATTGGGAGTGGGTTTGCACAGAGGCCTGTCCTCCACTCCCTGTGGGATTCCACATTACCAACCCATCCTTTTATTCTCTTCTAGTCATCAGGGCTACTTAAAATGCAAAATAGAAATATAAAAGAATTTCTTTAGGCCTTCTTTGACAAGGTGCTTAATTTTCTGGGATACTTAAAGCCCTGGGAAACTTTCTCAGCTATAGGGCAGCCACAGTTGTTAATGAGTAGAACATAATCTCTCCTTTTCCTCATCCTGGATTTTCCTGCCCATGAGCTTACATCCTTTAAAGTCTACACACCCTGGGCCCTGGGCTAGAACAGGTGCCCATCTTGGACAACTCTGTCTCAGTCCTTAGGATACAGGGCTAAACACCCTTCACAGCCTACAGTATCCTGGCTGTACTTCACTGACTACTGACCTCATGCCCCCAGGCACCCAGCCAAGCAGAATGTCCCCATGTCATTCATTTGTCCTCTGCATGGACTTCACTTTCTGAAGAATGCTGGTTACTACTTTTATTTTCACAGTAGTTCCTAGATACTTCTGTTCCTTCTGCCTATTACATTCAGCAGATAGCTCCTGGCCTTGCATCTCGCCTACTGTCTCCTTCCATGGCTTTATTCCAGGGATGCTCAAGAAATATTTGCTGGTCATTCTTGAAAAAATGCTTGGCATCCTGGGGAAGCTAGGGATTAAATCCTTATCCCCTTAATTTGTCCTGAACAACTTCAGGTAGCCTGAGGTTAGACTCCTATTCACACTTCTTTGAGTCCCTGCTCCAAACTTCTGAGATAGAGCACCACTGTCCCACACCAAGTCTGGCCTGGTTGCACTGTGATCACCCTAATCCAAGAGCACTGCAGATGCCTTCTGGAGAGTTGCTACCATCCTCCCAATTGCCTCCATTTCTTTTTTTTCTCTAGACTATTCTCTACAATGAAGCAAACTAAAATAATGATAATTATTACACTTTGTGTGGATGATAGCCTTTAATTCTCACCACACACTTCTAAAAACAAATTATCTCCATTTTCAGACAAAAAAAAAAATAGAGACTTGGTGAAGTTAGATGATTTGCTCCAGGGCCCACAGATAACAAGCAATGGAGTCAGGATTCAAATCCCACCTGTCTGATTTTAGGATCCACAGTCTGGCCACAATATGAGACTGCCTTCCAGAAAGAGGCAGTTTTGTAGAAGACAAGTTTGAACAGAAAATGCCATGTTCATGAAACTGAAAACCCTCAGCACGGTGTGGCAGGTCCATCAACTTGGCCTTGCACAC